GTCTGTGTTCTTTGCAACAGGAAAGTAAGCACAAAAAGTGTCGACAGCGTATGTTTGAAAATTTGCTGACCGAACGCCACTGTTTCGTATTCTGAAGGTTCAGGGATCAAGTCTCGTCTCGGATATTTTTTTTCTTTATCAGTCGTTCCAGGTAACTTCAATATGGCTGACTTTTAGGAAGTTGCGCCGTGTAGCTGACGTTCCAGAGGCTCTTACTATCTCATTCATCAGGTCGATGATCGCATCAAATAGCCATCTTCATAATCGTCACGAGAACTTAAGAGTCTCACCAGTAATAACTTCATTTTGTATAAAGAAATTCAGTGTGAGGACCCAGTACAGACATGTCTTTTTTCATTAAAGTGGATAATGTTAAATAAATTTGTTATTTTAACAATTTAGTCACTAAGTGACCTCTGCAGTTGACTGCTGGGTGAGGAAGACTTGTCCACACTGCCATAATTTCAAAACTCCTCGCTCTTTGTGTTCAGAAGCGAAATTGCATTTGAGTAGAAGCCTTGTTTTCGTGGGAGCATTCTACTGCATTCTTGCGTTCCCATAGCCCACTTCGAGCTCTTTATGGCCCGATTTCTCTCTGTGCCAACTTTCCATTACATTCTTACCGGCGTATTGTCGCCCAAAGGGGTAAGCAGAGACCACGGACTCTTCTTTTATCATTCTGATTTCTAGAAGTATTTCATGTTTTGAGTGCCTGTTAATAATTTCGAAATTATTATGAAACGCGACTCAGGTTAGCTCTGCATCTATGCACTTGCTGATTCAACAACCAAGTAGTCGGTTACCAAATCAGCACCGACTTACCATCATTTTAACAAGAGAAGAACATATGTAGCAGCATGTGTTTCGCCACCAAAAGTCAGTCCACATTTTCCACCGTCTTTTCTGATTTATCTTCCTGCCTGTACTTTATTACAGCTTTTTGAAAACCTATCGATATTCGTTTCCGCGTGACTTCTTCCTCTTCCCAAAGATGAAAATTCAGCTAAAGGGAAGGAGATTTGAGACGATAGAAGAGATTCAGGCAGAATCGCAGATGGTGCTTGACGGGCTGACAAAGAAAGATTTCCAGGGATGCTTCCAGGCTTGGCAGCGGCGCTGGGATCGTTGTGTTCACTCCCAGGGGAACTACTTCGAGGGTGATGGATGAATTTAATACCTGAGATAAGTGTACGGGTTTTTATACCCGCAGTCTTGAAACTTTCCGATCGCACCTCGTATGTCGATACCACTTCAGTCGATATTCCTGAATTCCATAAGACTATTCATCAAATCTATACGTAGGTCATTTTTAATATCTTCATTGCGAAATTTGTGGAGTTTTGTGCAACCTTTAACCCCGTTTATCTCAATAGCATATCTAATTTTAATTAATTCATGTAAGACCTTCGAAAGTGTTCTTGCTATGTTATATATTTCTAAATAAACTTGTTCTGAAATGATCTGTCGATGCTATCTAATCTGACTTATGATAGCGTAGAAAAGTTAACCATAAATAAAACAGAAGTTACATTATATTCGTTGACAAATTAAGTCCTCAGAGCTGAAGTGGTTTGAGTCAAATTCTTGTTATCTCGTTTATACCAAATGAAGAATATAGGATAATTTGGTGTGCATGTTTGCAAATTTTTTTAGCTTAGGAGATTTATTTTTATTGATTCCAGTGAGTAAATTGGAAACATAGACCAGAGACACTCCTTCTGTACCTCTGTCGAATTACGTCACTTTAGCTGTGATCGACTTATTACACGAATGTCCCAAAAACATTTATATACACAGAAGGATGATATTCCGAAAGAAATGTTCGTACTTTTTCAGACACTCTTCAAATCGCAAATGCTGGCGGTTGAAATATGACACCTGGTGGTCCCGTCACACTTCCGGCCTGTGTCTGACACGTGAGAAGGTCCACGTGTCTCAGGTCTAAGCTGACGCTACGCCATGGCACATGTTTTGTTGTGGCAACCCGCTCCAGACTTCCACGCTTCTCTCCATAATTGTCCTTCATTTTTCTTTCATTTTCTGTCTCTCCTATGCTTCTCACTGAACGTCATCTTCATAACCGGAAGGTCCCGTATTCAAATCTCGGCCCGGAGACTGGATATCCCGACTGACAAGTACTCATTCGGCAAAGAAATGAGCCCTCTCTCATGGAGCCCGACGTTCCATTGCTGTTTTTACAAAATACCACCGTACGCGCCTGCCTTGACTCAGTTTAATTCAATCCATGTCGTCTGTATAGATGTAAGTTTTGTTTGAAGAACCTGTTGGTTTTCTTCTGTACTGTCGAGACTTGACCGATCTTACCAAAATGACTCCAACATGTTCATAATGGCTTCAGTAGTAGCTCCATTTCCAGCACAGTGAGAGCAGAGTGGTTTCGCTGATGAGTCACCAGGGGTCTCCTGCGCCCAGTTGTCGTCGGCCTCACGATATCCCTCCCTCAGGATCGCCGTATATCTTCTCGTTATTTTATTGTTGCAATAGGACGAGACCCTATGGATCTGGTTCATTAATCGGCTCTTTGTTCACCCCTCAAATGATACGGCCCTGAAGAAAACCCTGTCCCACCACAACTGATACATATTTTGCAAAGAAAACACATTTTCTCTTCGGTTGTCAGAGTTAAACTCTTCGGTAAAGGCTTTTCGTCAGAGGGAATATTTAACACGTGGGGCCATATGTCCTTTTCATCCTCACTCTGTCGGTAATCTGTAAACAGAGGAAGGAGTTGAGAGGAGGGGGCGAAGGCCACGACTAGTATACGGAATGCCAAGCTTTCGGGCCACAGGGCGATCGCTGATTGGTCAACTTAACTTCACGTCATGAAGCCTGTGTTTGTTGCAATCTTCACAGCCATGGCTGGAAATGGGTGTAGTTGCGGGTAGACACCGTTTTCTCGCCCTATTTTAACCCTTAAAAGTCTAGTGGTAACTATATGTACCACCTGCTTCAGCACTCAGTAACTCTGCATTTTATATTTATGGGTTTCGTACGATTCTCAGTTAAAAAAAAACTATTATTTCCTTAAACAGCGTCAACCAATTGATCTTTGTAATGGTGAAGCGTTGTTTTCTTTGCGGTACGGGCCGAACTCGTAACTATTATTTAGACAGTTAGAGGAAGCTATTCGAAGTGCCTGACGTCATAACTCGTTTCCCAAATCGATATTGAAATAATTTTCCACCCGGTGAAAATGGTGATTTGGTGCCTGGTTCTGAAAAATCATTGTCACCCCTGTTTAAAAATCTTACCGCAAGTACAAACCTACGACCAGGAGAGTAATGGTGATGTCGCAGAATAAAGAAACTCCAGCTGTATTCTGGGAGAAGAGCTCTTGAAAAGATCAAGGGAGGATGAAAGAAAATGCGAAGGAAACAGACGACAAAGAACAACTTTCAAAATGGGTTACATGTGACGTTTATTCGCCGAAGTCTTGGCCACGGCATCCGCGTTTCCAGATGTTACCCTAACGGAACACAAGTACCGTGGCGATACTTGTGAAAGAAAGTTTAAAGGCACGCCTAGAAGTAGATGGGAGGATAATATTAAAACGGACCTTGGCATGGTGTGACGGGGCTCATTTGGCTCAGGATAAGTTCTACCTTCAGATTCAGTAGAAGGCGGGGGATTTATTCAGCAGCTGAACGACCGTTATATTTACAAGGATTCTGCTGATCGATTAGTTTGGCAGAAATTTAACCGCACGAGTTTCAGTGTATTGAAGTAACGGATCAGTCTGGACGCAGAACAGTGTTCGCCGACAGTCTGCGAACACAGTCGGCGGTCTTCTTGCTCCGAATCTGGGAAGCCCAGGGTTCGGTTCTCTGCCCACAAGTCGACTTTCCTGGTCGATTTAATGATATTCCTAAGTCTTTGCAGGATAATTCTAAGAATTTTGTAGTTCAAAATCTTTTTATACTCTGCGCTATGCACGTGTGTAGTTGAGGATACGTCAATTGGCGTAAGGAAATGATGAGACAAGACAGGATTTCGCCCACCATCAACAGGTCATCCGCTCATTTCTGCTGCAGCTCGCCCCATCACTCATCTCTGTGTCTCCTCTTACAAATATCGCCGAAGGGATGGACGTTTGTAGGCCTGAAGAGTTTTCACAATCACGTGTCGTAGTGAAAGACTGTAATTGAA